CTTCCGGGCTTCTCCTTGCTGATATACTCGTCGAAGGGCTTCCTCATCACACTCCAGATGAGCGCTGGGATAGATACCCAGTGGCCTATATAAAATGCGTAGAGGGCTGTTAGATAGTCTCCTTGCCGCTGAATCTTGTGCCCGGCCATATATATATTCCGAAAGAGAACGGAATCAAAGAACCATAGGTCATCTGGAAGAAAAGTACGGGTGGTGAAAGTCTCGCCATCGGCATGGTGACCTGTCAAGAAAACTGCCATGTCGGCATAAGAAGGCCTGTATAGCCTCGGATATAGCTCTTATAGCTCCAGAGGGCATCAGTGTGGACAATGGCATGATCTGGATAGCGTGTCCACAATAATAGTAATCTGATGGCCATCTATAGTAGTGACCAGCTCTGCCGTGGTACGCGGGGACGATCGAAGGTTCTGGAAGAACATCTGTACTAGCCGCGGGTAAATTGGCTCAGTAACTGGGGCAAGAATAGCTACAAGGCCCCTGTGGATAATATCATGGTAAGCTGATCAGGTCAGTACCGATCTGGAGAAGAAATCTGTGTCGAACACTGACTCATGGTCCACTGTCATATGCGCATATCTAGGTGCATGCCAATTACACTCTCGAGCTGGCTGAGCTGGCTAATGTGGTTGAGATGGTAATGGTGAATGCTCAGCTCCAGCATGTGATGGAGATGGGGACGGTGTTAACGCAAGCTGAGCCGCAGAAGTAGATGGAATATGATCATCCTCAGCCTCATGAGTAGGTAACTGAGGTGGAGTAGGCTGTAATGGCTACTCCTGTGTATAAGAGGGCTCTACTGGCTCCTCTATCCTAGGTCGGATATGTCTCTGAGGCCCGTGTTGCCTCTTGGCAATAGTCTTGCGCTTAGTCATGGCCTGAAAAATAATTTAAAAACTTGCAAGGGGAGTCAGTGCCAGAATAAAGAATTGAAAGCACAAAATAGAAACATGCATGTCAAATAAGATAGACAAAATAGATAGATGACATGAATATATGCAAGTGACAGGATATGAAGCATGCTAAACAATGTAAGTATAAAATGCATCCAATGTGGAATATCACAAGCATTGGGCATATATGAGATAGCATGAACATAATACATGATGAATGAAGTGTGTGTATGAGATCTGTGAAGTTCGATCGATCACAAAAAAATGTGAGATCGATCTCAAAACTTCGATCGATCTGAGAAACTGAAAAACTAAGTTCGATCGATCTCTCAAGATCGATTTGAGATAGAAGTTCGATCTATCAAACTGTGCGAAGATAAAAACTGAAGGGTCACAGATCTGTGACTTTAGAAGTACGGGGGCCACACGAACAATGTCGTGGGCCCATTAACACATCATTCAATCAATCTTACTCACTTTACAAAGCCCATACTCCCAAAATCAATTCAAAACTCAAAATATATAAACATATATACAAATCTATATACATATATCATCAACAATACATCCTAGATCTAGCATGTAGGTAACATGTATTGAACAAGTTGAAGCTTGAAATCACAAGGTGTGGCTCGGATCTTACCTCAAGTCGCGAAAGAAGATGAGAAGAAGATGGAGATGAAAATCCGAGAGGAGAGAGAGAATCAACATTTGGATTTTGTCGGAGATTCGCCGAAGAAGATGATGAAGATGGGTACACAGTGCCGACGGGAATAAAGGACAAGGGTTTGGAGGGTTGGATCGATTTAATAAATCGATCTTCAGACCCTCAAGGTCTATTTTTAAAAAATTTTCCCGATCAGTTCGATCGATCGAATTAAGATTTCAGATCGATTGAACTTTGATGATTTCTCTTCAAAGTGTTTTTGGAATTTTTAAAATTTTTGAAAAATTAAAAACTAAAATTAATTAAAATTGAAAAATAGAAAATATTTTTGGATTTTTGAAAAATAGAATAAAATAAAGAAAATAAAATCTTTTTGGATTTTTGAAATAAATAAAGTAAAAATCTTTCTCTTCCTTTTTTTTTTTTTTTTTTTTTTTTTTGAAAAATTTAAGTAAGTAAAAGAAAATCTTTTTTTTGTATTTCTTTTTTTTTTTTGAAAATAAAAAATGAAATAAAGTAAAATAAAATAAATATTTTTGGATTTTTGAAAATTAGAAAGTTAAACAAAGTCAAAGATGGTGAGATGAAGAACTAAGATCGATCTGAACAAAATGTTCGATCGATTAGACAGACAGCAAAAATATGCAGGTTTTTGGTTCAAAATTTTGGTTAAGTGTTGGAACTTACAGATCGATCGAACTTTGAAATTGGATTGATCGAAGAACTTCAGATCGATCTTGAAATGTTTTCGATCGATGAGACAGAGAGCTGAAATATGCAGGTTGATACAGGCTCAAAATTTTTCTAAGTGTTAGAGCACGAGATCGATCAAACTTTGAAGTTGGATCGATCTAAGATCTTCTGATTGATCTGATAATAAGTTCGAACGATGGGACAGAGAGGTGATTTGGATGAAGGTGAAATTTTTTTCTAAGTGTTGAATGCAGGTGGAAGTTCAATTGATCGAACTCTCGTTTGAGATCAATTGAACTTATGCAGAATGCTCAATCACAACATAAAAGTTCATGCAATCCTAATCACAGTTCCTAGCAATGCATATGAACCAAAAACAAGTATCTAGACTTCCCAAGAGATGAAATTTAAGATAGAAATGAGGGAGGAATAGGGTTTGACACCCTACGAAATGTTTTGCTAGTCTTTAACATCTCTAGCAAGACATTGGGCTCTTTTAGCTCGGATCAAAGATCTTGTAATGCATCCCCTCCTTGTTGGGGTGATAGATGCTTTGAACTCCAACCAACAAACAATTCTTTGAAGAACTTGTTGGATTAATCTCAAAAGAAACTTTTGATTCCTTGTCAATGCAATCACAACCTTTAGGCTTCCATGCCCTTTCAAAGCAAGAATTTGAAACAAGACTTTGAGAATGCAAGGTTGAAGATGATCCCTTTGAAGTTTTGGTCTTACACAAAAGCTCACTTCCTTGACATTGAAGATCATGACATTTATCTACAACATTAACCTCTCCTTCATATTTGTCAAATGAGTTGGGTGTGGGATTGAAGATATTCAACTTCACCTTCATGTGGCCAAATGAGATTTTCATTATCCCCGTCCTACAATTAATGTTGGCATTAGCGGTTGCCAAAAAAGGACGGCCAAGGATAACGGGAATTTGGCTTTTAGGATTGGGGACCGGTTCCGTGTCAATGATAACAAAATCAACGGGGAAGAAGAATTTGTCAATCTTAATCAATACATCCTCAATTATACATCTAGGCTTCTTAATGGATAGGTCAGCAAGTTGTAAAACTACCGACGTCAGTTTCAATTCACCTAGGCCCAATTTGACATAAACCGAGTATGGAAGAAGGTTAACACTTGTTCCTAAGTCAAGAAGCGCCCGATTAATGATATGATCACCAATGATGCATGAAGTAGTAGGTGAACCGGGGTCCTTAAACTTTGGTAAAATGTTATGTTGCAAAATTGAGCTTACTTGCTCGGTTAAAACCACTTTTCTTGGTGCTTGGCTCTTGTTCTTCCTCTTTTGGGTGCACAAGTCTTTCAAGAATTTGGTATAAGCCGGAATTTGCTTGATTGCATCCAAAAGTGGAAGGTTGACTTTCACTTGCCTAAACATTTCCATGATTTCATTGGTTTTTGCCTTTTGCTTGTCTTTTGAAATGGATCCTTTTAAGGCATCCGAAAATGGAGCTTTTGGCTTAAACACTTTTTCAGCATTTCCTTTTGAAAACTCCTCAACACAAGAATTTTTCAAATCACTTTATTTTAAATCATTTTTCAACAAAGCCTTTTCAAATTCATTTTTCGGCAAATCTTTCTTCAAATCATTTTTAAAATCATTCTTCACATCACATTTTGAAACTTTCTCATTCACAAGATCATGTATATGCAATGAAGGAGGAATGGGATGTGAAACGGGACGGGTGACAACTTGAGGTTATACTGGTTCACTCTCTTTATTGGACATTTCAACTTGATTGTCCACAATCCTACCACTTCGTAAGGTAGTCACCGCATTAACATGTTCAATGGTGTGGCATTCCGATGAGGAATGGGTTTCCACAACACATTGTTGCTCAGGTGGGGCATTTATAGGCATCTTTCCCTTCTCTCTTGCATTAAAAGTGCTTGTTATTTGCCCTACTTAGGTTTCTAGCTTCGCAATAGATTGAGAATAGGAATAAAGCAATTGTGTGTTCGCCTCAAGAGTGCCCAAAGCATTCAAAACTTTTTCTTCAAAGGCGGGACTTCTAGCATTTCCTTGGGAATAAGATTGGTTGGGAAAATGAGTGTTAGCAAATTAATTCCCTTGTGATTGATAAGGTCTATAACCTTGGGATCCTTGGTTTTGAAGTGAAGGTGGAATGTACTTTCCTTGAAAACTACCTTGGGAAGGGTTTGAGCCATCTCCTTGGTTTTTCCAAGAGAAATTTGGATGATTTCTCCAACTTGGATTATAATGAGTACCGTAAGGATTGTTCCCTTGGTTCACAAAAGCTGCATTGACTTATTCATTAGGTTCATTTTGCACTTGTCCGTGAGGACAATGAGAAGTAGAATGAAGAACACTAGAACAAGTCATACATGTTTCATTTGATGCACGATGAGAATGGTTATGGAAGGAAGATACTTGGTTCACCGAGTTTTGGTTAATCAAAAATTGATCAAACCTTTCAGATAAAGACTTCATTTCGGCGGCTATTTCATTTGAATGGTTAACTTGATGTAAGCCAACACTCTTCCTACCTTATAAATTTCTACCATTCTTAGATGATAATGTTCTATGCAAAAAATTTTCACTCATGCTCTCATAAAGACGCCACACGTCATCCTCATGCCTATCAATGTATGAGCCACCCATGGAAGCATCAACCATGCCTTTGTAATTGTCCGATAAGCTCTCAAAGAAATATTGAACTAATTGCCATTTGGGCATGTCATGATGTGGACACTTCCTAAGCAATTCATTAAAGTGTTCCCATGCCTCATGAAACGTTTCTCCATCCTCATGTGAAAATTGTTCTCATGGCATTGGTCTTAGAAACTGGATAATACTTCTTCAAGAACTCTTGTTGCATTTCTGCCCAAGAAGTGATTGAAAAAGGCCTAAGATTGTTAAACTAATACTTTGCCATGTCTTTTAAGGTGAATGGAAAAAGTTTGAGTCTTAAGACCTCTTCCGGCATGTCCGTATATTTTACGGTGGAACATACTTCTAAAAACTCATCTAAATGCTTGTAAGGTTCTTCACTTGGAAGTCCATGATAGTTAGGAAGCATTTGAATGGTTTGTGGCTTAATTTCATAGTGATGTGCTCTAAATGGTGGCAATTGAATGCATGTGGGTGCATTGTATTCATTAAGCACATAGTGATCTCTTAAAGCAAGTGGAGGATTAGCAATTTGAGGTGCAATATAGGCACCTTGATTTTGATTTCCTTGAATGATGGGAGGTTGTGGAGCATACATTGGCCTTGGCATTCCAAATGGAACTTGGCCTTGTTGTTGTTGTGGTTGGTGAATGAATGGCCTAGGCATGTCTAATGGTGCTTGAATGTTCTCATGATGCACATTTGGATGGAGGATACCTTGTTGGTCTATGTGACCAAGGTCTTCTACATGCTCTTCATTATGGCCTTCCATTGATGTAATGGATTGGGTAGAACTAGAACTTCCTCTTCCCCTAGGATTTCTAAATACGGATTCAATATGCAAATCAAGAGAGACAAGAATTGGTCTTAGTGATCTACGACCATGCATGGACAATGTAAAAACACACAAACACAATAAATGAACAAACACTTTGACTTCACAACAATTCAATGAAACTTCCTCCACAAACACTTAACCCATACTCTTATGTTTTAACAACAATGATGCAAAGAACAATTAAGACTGCCTCCACGCGGGCTCATGATTTATCTAAGAATTTAAAAACAACAAGTCTCCACGTGGGCCGATGATTTAACTAAGGGATTGAGTAAGAAAAAACTCACAAAAGTCCTTTAGCACTTCAACTCCAAATTTATAGCTTAGCTTAGCAATTTTTTTTAAACTTTTAGCATTTTTCCTTGTTTGCTTAGCTCCTTTACTTGGTGGCTCATTTGCTTGCCTCCTAACTCAATACTCCTTGTCAAAGATGAACAAACACAATAAGGAACAAAAAGAAAATTAAAAATAAAGTAAACACACGATCAAAAGAGTACTACTTCCGAATTGATTCCACAAATACGACGTTGCCTAATCCCCGGCAACGGCGCCAAAAACAATGGTCGTCGTCCTACCATAAGCATAAGAGTGTGCATTAAGGTGAGGGCCAAGTTTTACATTTATAAAAGCCGCTACTACCTTCACTAAAAATATAGTTAGGGTGAGTAGGGATCGTCCCAAGGGATTAGAGTCGAATTTGGTTGTGGAATCACAATTAGGGTTAGTAGGTCGAGTGATCAAACAAATAGTTGGTTGGTTGATTAAACTAGAGAGCAAATTAAACTAAATAATTGAATGCAATGAAGAGTAAGTAAGAGAGAGAGAGATCTTGGGGTTTAGAGGACACCACCAAATAATACTTTTCTACACCCTTAACAAGTGACTAATGAGGGAAATGTGTGTTACAATATTGATATGTGTGTGTGTTGGTTGATTCAATTAACAAGGGTGACCAATTAAGCATATATGGTTTAATCAACATGTGAAAAGCACAATATATCTAACAATTAAGTATATATTGTTTAAATAGCATGTGAAAAGCACAATATATCTAGCAAGTCACTAATCTTTTCATTAAGCTCATAAGGCAAATACACTACAAGGTTAGAGACATATGCTTCTTGCATTCAAAAGTATACAACATCAAACAACAAACATGGATTGTCCTCCCATCTAACAACTATGCTACCACTACACTACAATTAAGCTAATGACATGAAATTAAACTAATTCAACTAAGGGAGAGGCACAATCCATCAAGAAATGAGCATGAACCATCTAGAAAATTACAAAAGCATTCCATTAAGCACAATGTTTTGACAATCTCTAAATCTATGGCATTAACACACATAGATATGCATCAATAACACAAGAAATAGAGACAAACACATGAACATCTATTCTAGCTTACATAGACATATGGATAGAATGAAATGATCAATTGGAAGCATTAAACCACATAAATCATTGAATAAACAAGATCTATATATATAAAAGTGCCAAAACATGTATTACAACACTAATCCCTCAAAAATACACAAAATCAAGAGGTAGAAAGTATGTTTGGGGCTAACTCTAGCCCCGAGAGGATGTTTAGCTACTCATGATAATGCTTCTCTAACCCTCAAGGGCTAACTCCATGGTAGAGATTTGCTCCTTGGTTGATAAAGAGTCTCCAATGGTGTCTCTAGCCTCCTCCTCCTCTAAGCTTGCTCTCCAAGAGTTCTTACAAGGTATGAGATGATATGATGTGATATGATGTAAAAAGTAATCCTTATCCTTATATAGGTAGTTCAAATGACACCCAAAAAGGGCTGGGGTCGTACAACAAATATTCCCCAATGATTGGATAAAGAATAACTTTCAATGAGATGGAAATTTAACTTTTTCGCACTGGAGGAAGTTCGATCGATCAAACCTTGGACTTGGATCGATCGAATATGGCTGAGATCTATCGAACTGAAGTTGGATCGATCCTTAATAGCAGTGTTTTTTTGGATAAAAACAAATCTGAGATATTTTGAAGATATTTTTGGGAAAAGGACAAAAGTGGTTGGTAGGGTGGTACAACTAGATAAGATCAATCATTTGGATAAGGACAAGGTAGTTCGATCGATCGAAGAATGATGTTCGATCGATCGAACTTTTGAGATCTTTGAAAATGTCATCATGGCTCTGATCCATCTTGAAGTGCTGAGATCGATCATGTTGGATCGATCGAACTTTAATTTGAGATCGATAGAAGATGTTGATTTCCACCTTTTTCTTCCTTTTGCTTCCACTTAGCTCATTTCTTTGAATCATCCCAGAATTGCTTCATTTCTGCTCTTATTTGGCTGAATTAGCTTATTTTTGGGGTAAGTGACTGAAAATGGAAATAATGCGAAATCAATCTAAAACGGTAAAGTAAGATAGATAAAGGTACTAGAATGCTTAAGCTTAAGGGGTTTAAATACGTACTTTTCAGCGCTCATCATGGAACAAATTGGCAAAGTTACCAATTTCAGAGCAGAGAAAAGAGATGAGAAACAGGTAATTCAGTCAAACATGTTGTTAATCCAAAAATTAATAATATCCAAAAAATATAATGACAATTTAAACTAAACAAAATATGATGCATGAATGCAGGATTAGATAACAAAAGAAATCAAGCATCAACATCGTCCTCAAATGCAACAGTAGAAGTTGGAACATCTCCAAAATCATTACCACCACTACCATCCTCATCATCATCATCTGTCTCCTCATCATCCTCATCAACTAAAGATGGATTTGGAGGAGCAGGTCTATAAACATCCTCAGTAGAACTACCAGCTTGCTAACCTCTAAGCAGTCTCACTTTAACCTTGAGATCTCGAATCTCATCTAGATAGCATGGCCTTCTAATTCTGAAGTAGCAGAGAATACATTAGATTTGCATCATCTCTAGAAAAATTTCCTTTTGAAGGAAATAATTGTGTAATCTTTGGAATCTGTGATGATGTCTCATCGGATCGTCTCGGTGCTTTCCTAGCATTCTCTCTAGCTTTCTTGGATTTGTTCAGAGCATGGAGATCCAACTCAGTCATGATATTTTGATGATAAGCCCTAGGAGGAAGCAAAATTTTATGCTTCCTATAGAAACTTATAATCAACATAGGAAACGGAGATGAATAGAGACGAGATTCTTCTTGTAATGAACAATCATCAATTGCACAATTGAAGGTGCAAGTTGAATATGTTCCCCTGTAGCAAGAAAATACAGAACTTATGCTCACTCTAGAGTAATTTCATCTTTCTTGCCAAAATATCCAGATTAGCCATGGTGAACAAATTGAAGATTGCCGCCTCATTTGTAAGGTGTCGCATAGAAATGTAGTGATCATACCTTAGAGATCCTAGAACACAAAGTATGTTTAAAATTTTTGGTAATTTTGGACCTGAACCTTCCAATGGCAAAACACATCCTAGAATTGTATCTTTGTCTGGGAGTTCAAAGATGACTTGTATCTCTTCTTCATCAACTACATAGTTTGTTCCAAAAGTAGACATAACAAAATATGTAAAATTTCAAATTTTAGAATAGAAATAGCGAACCATATCCGGAGAAAAACCACCCTTCATTTTTTGAAGAATAGCTACTTGTTTGACTCGATGTAGTCATCTAGCTTCTTCCCAACACTGTCTCTTAACTTATTTAGCTTCACATTGCTTTCAGTCTTGATGGGACTATCTTTGTAGACGTCATTATAAGCTTTCTATGCATGGCATCATAGAAGTGATCTTCTGTAAACTCAATCTTACTTGTAGCATAAACAGATGGATACCTAGCTGGTATCTCATGTGAAGGATAATTGGATGCCATTGGAGACAACGATGTGTCCATGGGAGCATTTGAACTTTCTTGAGGTTCACGGATGAATATGCTGGTTCTAGTTCTCTTTGGAGCCTTCGGTGCCACAATACCTTTACCCTTAGCTTCCTTGGATATTCTTGGAGCCATTTTTATCTTTTGAAAAATTCACTTTGAAGCTTTAAACTTCTTTCAGGAATTTTATCGAACACTTTGTGTGCAACCTCAAAAGTGTTCTTGAGAAAACTTGATTTCAATCTTCTACGCCCACAAAATCAATCAACAATGCACTCAATAATCCCAACACAATTTTCTTATATCAATTCTTAAATGATGTCATGAATTACAATATTGCAATTAGGAATGAAGAAAATGATGCAAGATATTGAACTATAGGATGATATAACTATATATATGTAAGAGAAGGGTGAGGAGAGCACAAATATGGCCTTTTGGTGTGCACAAAAAGTCCCAAAAACTTATTTGCCTAGGCGTGCAG